CCCAGCCTGGAACGTCACACTGTCATTTCCGCAATATCCTGTCGGCCACCCGGGTCGGCCTTATTTCACGCGGGAGGGCACTGTGTGAGAACGCGAATACCAGGAGACAGGGGTCAGGGGGAGCCTTCCTAGAGGTTGATGATCCCAGTACAGAAGAGCTAGTTGTTTTTTCTTGCGTGCTAATAAAATCCCATTATGTTCGGGTAGTAGGTGGAACTTCCTTGAAATGCGGGAAGGTGGGCCCAGCCCCAGAAGAGGAGCCATGATAGGTTCAAGTCAATCAGGGCAGAGCTAAGATGGAAGTTTCTGCCGAGGCTCCAAGACGGCAGTAGATGCAGCAAACCCAAAAAGGAACAAGACTCTATTGCACGTTTTATCGAGGCATTATCCAAAAGCAGTCACTTGACGCTCGGATTTCTCTCCCACTAGAGTATGTCAAGAAGTGGTCACTTGACGCTCGGATTTCTCTGCCACTAGAGTATGTCAAGAGTAAGGTTGCTGCAGAGCAGGAGAGGATTTACAGAGAACTGCAACTGTGCCACAGGCCACAGAATGGCCCCTAGAGAGAGCTGTGTCCTAATGCCCAGAACCTGTGAATGTTACCTTGGAGGGCCAAAGGGACCATGCAGAGAATCCAGATTGTCAAGGTGGACCTTAAATGTAATCACAAGTGTGGGGCGGATGATGGTCTGGCTGCAGAAGTAGCTGTGCCAATTGAAGCAGAGATTGAGGGGGCCACAAGCCAGGCACTCCGCAGCCTCTAGAAGTTGGAAGAAGCAAGGAGCAGATTCTCCAGAAAGAACCAGCCCTGCCAACACCTCAATTTTATTCCTGTAAAGACTCATTTCAGGCTTCTGACCCTCAGAACTGCAAAAGAGTAACTGTGTTTTAAGATTTTGTTTATTTATTTGACAGAGAGCGAGAGAGCACCAGCAGGGGGAGCAGCAGAGGGAGAGGGAGAAGCAGACACCCCGCGGAGCAGGGAGCCCGATGCAGGACTCGATCCAAGGACCCTGAGATCATGACCTGAGCTGAAGGCAGACGCTTTTTTTTTTTTAAAGATTTTATTTATTTATTTATTTATTTATTTATTTATTTATTTGACAGAGAGACACAGCGAGAGAGGGAACACAAGCAGGGGGTGTGGGAGAGGGAGAAGCAGGCCTCCCACCGAGCAGGGAGCCCGATGCGGGGCTCGATCCCAGGACCGTGGGATCATGACCTGAGCTGAAGGCAAACGCTTAACTGACTAAGCCACCCACGTGCCTTAAGTGTGTTGTTTGAAGCCACTACATTGGTGATAATTTGTTACAGCCCGAACAGGGAACTAATGCCTATCACCATCTCTCCCCCAAAACAAGGGGAGAAGCAGCGAGAGGGGCTTCAATGGCACCAATCAAAGCACTAGATGTTTATCCCCAATCACTAGGGAGACTCAGTGAACTGAAGTCTGACTGCTGTGTGGGAAATCAGAAATGCAGACTCTGGGCTGGCTGGCTGCTCCATGCTGGGGACCAAGGAGAGGGCTGTGCTGGAATCAGCCAGCAGTCTTCTTATAGTTGGAACAGAGGATGTATGAGTGCTTCCTATGTGCCACTCAGCCAGCGAAGGGCTCAGTAGAGAGGAAGATTGCAGTGGACCAGCGGATTCCTAGGGCTGCAGGGGGGATGAGTGACCCCCCAGAATCCAGTGTAGCCTCCTGGATCCAAGGGACTGCCTGGATTGAGGAAGGAAAGGCAAACACCAGGGGTTGGCCAGCTGAGAAGGAAGGAGAGGCAGAGCAAGAGGGAGGAAGGACCATGTCTTCTGCCCATCACCCCATCACATTGTGGCCACCGGTCATGGCAGGCCCCAGCCGGGAGGAGATGTAACATTATATCAGCTTTCAGTGAGCACAGTGACCACTTTTCCATGGCCTAAGAGTTCTCTGAACAAGTCACAAGACCTGTCTGAATTGTCCTCCAGGGACAAGGGAAGGAAGCTTGCTTAAAGGGACTATAGGAGGCAAAAAAAAAAAAAAAGAGAGAGAGATTGTTTTATAACTATACTCCCTGAGTCCTACTTGATCAAAGGTACCAATTACAACCAGGCCAGGTCAATCTTGGCCCTCCTATTTCTTTTCTCAAATGGTTGGTTTGGGATGGGTGCGTGCCTCAGTTCTGGCCAATTGAGGCTCAAAGAGAAGCCTGCTGGAGGGCTTCTGAGAAGTCCTGGCCCTGCAGAGCCTTTCTGCTTTGGTTATGATTGCACCAGGCCAGGATGCCTGGAGCTGCAGCAGCCATTCTGCAACCAAGAAGAGAGGCACAGAAGGTAGAGGGGAAAGATGAAAAGATGCCTGGGTCCCTCACAACCGCATCATGCCACTGAACCAATCCTGGAGCTCCCCCCACTTCTGACTTCTTAAGTGAACTAATACATTTTATAAAGCTTACGCCATTATTAGTTGGGCACTCTGATATTCCACCAACTAAATACATCCTAACGGACATGACGTTCAAAGGGGAAGAGTCTTGTGTATATATATAAAGTCTTGTTATATATATTCCCACTTGGGTGGCCCTTACCTACTACCTTATTGGGTATTTCTTCTTGTAACTTATCTCTATTGCTCAACTAAAATGAATACAGCATTTCTGTGTTATACCTGGTTATTACAAGTTAATGAGCTATACGTACTATTAATTTGCACATTGAAATCAAAAAAGTACAAAACTTATAGCTTTAGGGGCGTCTGGGTGGCTCAGTCAGTTAAGCATCAAGTCTTGATCTCAGCGTCGTGAGTTCAAGGCCATGCTGGTCGTGGAGGCTATGTTGAAAAAAAAATTATAGCTTTACTTTTGACAATTGATCTCATTTTGTTCTCTAGATTTCTGTGAGGGGCAGGAAATAATGCTTGTGCTAGCCAATAAAATGCAGCTCATTCTCTTCTGGTTTTAAGCAGTTTCTTTTGGACACAGCTCCAGTCAGGCTTGAATTCAGACTCACTATCAGTACAATTTCTCCCCTTTCAAGGGGTCTTCCAAGGTGGCATCTGAGAGCAGGAAGCATGCTTCTGTTCCTGGTGTAGTGGGATTACCTGCTCTTGTGTTTTCACTGTAGACCCTATTACTACTCTGCGATCAATTTCCAATGTGGCTTTATGCTGCTATTGTTTGTTATGACAACCCAACTTTTTATGAAGTTCCCACAAAACCCAAAATACCCTTGAGAAGAGTGAATGGGAAAAAAAAACAACAACACAACAACAGTGAATGAACACCCTAAGGATGACAAAGGGCTTCCGGGCAGATCGAAGTGGGAGAGGCAGGATGAGATGAATGACCAGACCAGAGGAACACTGTTTTGTGCTTCTTGGTAGGATGCTCCCTAAAAGCCACAGCATAGGCTCAGTGGTTTGGATGGGCCTGGCCAGGGACATTAAATCTTAGGTAGTGACTCAAGAAGGTTGTTCCTGGTGCCAGTGACCAGGGGTGGTCCCCACAGTGGCTTCTCAACTGGATTCCTGTGGTGTGATCTTGGCTGTGTTCACAATCCTTCTATAGCTCCTGTCCACTTGCCAAGGCTTCTGGCCATTCTGCGAGCTCCCACGATTCTTTCTCTTTAAATTAGCCAGAATGAGCTTTAGGATTTTGCCATCCAGAGCCACAGTGACTCTAAGCTCTTTTAGTAAATGTAAGGAGAATGGGTTTCCTGGGAGACAATTCTCCATGGGCCTTTTGCATTTCTGCTTGTCTCACAAATAGAGGCACCGACTTTTCAAGGGTGTTTAATAGAGTGAACAACCTTGGAGGATAGTGATTGCATCTCTTTCTGGAGCAAAGAGCAGGTTTGTTTGCTGCCCATTATAAAATATTTGTGCTCCTAAGCTCAGAGCTTCTCTGGTAGTGCAAACCCCCGCATGTGCAGGCATTCACGGGCCCATCCCTGTGGCACCCAGGGGACAAGGGACAGGCTGTGCTGACAGGAATAGACTGCTGCTTCTGTACCATGAGGAATCCAGGCCTTTGTCTCTGGCCCAGGAGTCTCTGGTTTTTTGGCACACCCATGACGCCCCGGCAAGCGAACTGGCTAGCATGCAAGAGTAAAGCTTCAGACCCTTCCCAGTTCTTGACAGGGTGGCCCCCATGGGACTAGGAGATTCCCGAGAGCTGTTTCCCGACATCCTACCTACTGACCTCCACTAAACTGGGAGATGCCCGAGGAAGAGACCCTACTCCTCAGACTTGGATGGAAACCAAGACATTTTTCCCTGTCAGACTGAGGCTCTCCAGAGCTGGGTTTGCATCCTCTGACCCCTCTGCTTACTCCTGTCTCTGCCAACACAGGCCACTCTGAAGGCCCGGAAAATAAGGAGTATGCCAAGTATCCCCTCCCCCAGCCCCAATTCTTACACACACATACGTGACATTCGGGAGCTACACCCGCCTCTTGCCTGGGCCCTGCTTTCTACTGGACTTGAGGCATTTCCTAGGCTTCTTGGAGCTAAGGCAATGAGCTGGAAGTAAGTGGAGTGGGGAGCCAGGGTGAGGAAGGAGAGAGAGAAGACAGAAAGGGGAGGAGAGAACATAATGATACAAGTAAACATAATGCTTGGAGCGCTTTCTGTAAGCCAGGTAAAGTCTGGTACTGTGTGACTATCTCTAATTTACAGGTGAAGAGACTGAGGGTCAGACAACATGCTGAAGGTCACGTAGCTCTTACATTTATGTGGCAGAGAGGGGATTTGAACCAGGTCTACTGGCGGCCAAAGCCGCCCCCTTCTCCCCTTTAATGCCTTGCCAAGAGGGAAGGTGGAGGGACACCTGGGTTTTAAGTGCTCTTGGAGGCTCTAGAAAAGGCAGCTATTCCTGGGTGGAACCCTAAGGGCAGATGAAGTTCTAGCCTCACCCCTTGTGATCCAACAGGGGCCCTAGAGATCAGACAAAGTTCTATGCGTTCTGGGAACTCTGTCTCATCCCAGTCCCTGATCAGGGGAAGAGGGCAGCACAGCCTTGGGAAGAATGGATAAGCATGGTGAGTGGGGCTGGAAGCAGGGTGGGGACAGAGGACAGGACCACTGACTCCTGTCAAGTGTGGATGCAAACCCAGTGTGGGCCAGCTCACCCATCGCCATGGAGACCCCAGAGAAGTTCAGCCTTTTCTCAGTTACTTGTACAAGCCCTCTTCTTTCTTTTCCCTGAATATTCTTGACATCTGCTTCCTCATCTTCACCTGCTGCTGTTTGGACCTTTGTCTTCTCTGGCCGGGACCGCTGTGACGATGCCTAAGTGGGTCTCCCTCTGTCCTGCAGGGAGACCATCCTAAAACACAGCTCTGAGCATGTCCCTCCATTGGAAAGTTCAGTGGCTCCCCAGTCCCGAAGGACGAAGTCCAAACTCCATAGCCTGGCACCCAAAGTCCCAGCTTCCTTTCTAACCTCATTTCCTATTCCCATTTCTCTCGAAAAGTTCCAGTACCCCTTTCTGGCTGTGCACTAGGTCTGGCCTTTCACAACCAAAAGGCTCCTTAGTGTGTTTTCTAACGAAAAGTGCAGCGGACCCTGGTTTTCCAGCTTTAGCAACATCGAAAACTGGCAGAATCTTTGAAACAACTTTTTTTGGAAAGGTTTCGGAAGTCTCAGATGAAATTCAGAGGCCTCGGTTACCTCCCTCGCCCCTACCCGAGGTGGTTGTGAAGGTGAAGGGGCACAATGTGTGAAGAATTTAGCACAGTGACTGCAAACAGTTGGTGCTCAATACGTGTGAGCTAGAACACTAGTTGTATCATTCTCCTTTGTCCCCAACCTCTTTAAACAGGACGGGCAGGGACCAGTAGGAATTCTCTTGACCTTTCCAGGACAAACCACTGTGGTGTCTTCCCTGGCCTCATCCCCCTGCTTTTCTTTGGAAGTCTAGCTCCCCAGATCCAGCAGAGAGCAGGACAGACACATGGTGGTGCCAGGGGGGAGGGAGGGAGGTTGCCGAACGATGGACTCCTAGCAGGAGAGGCCAGGTTACTTCCCATGGCAGCCCGGCAACGTCCTGCCTGCCAGGATTACTGTTATGAGTTAGGAAGTTTGTGCTCTCCATAAAGGCACCGGCCAGAGGGACGCTGGTGGTTGAAATCCAGCTGGCAATTGGGGTCAAGCCTGGAAGGAAGCTGGCTCACTCCTAGGGCAGCCTTTTCCTAACTGGTCTGCCCGTGGTGGTGGTGGTGGTGGGTGGGGGTGGGTGGGTGTAGGTGCCCGCGCGCACGCGCTCAGGTGCTGCCACAGCTGCGCTTCCTTAAGGCGAGCCCTGGGCTGGGCCCTTGACAGAGTCGCAACCTGCTCCCCGCCTCACAGTCGCCCTGGAGAGGAGCACTACTTTTCCCAGATGGGGACACGGAGCTTGACAGAAGCGACGTGACTTGCCCCGAATCCTCAGCGAGGAAGAGTAGAAACCTGGGAAATGGGGGGCAGCCCGGCGGCCCTGTCTCGCTCTGTAAGGAATCCTGCTGACCCGGTGCAGCCCGTGCACACTCTCCTTCAGGCGCCTGCCTTTTTTTGGGGGGGGGGTGTCGGGTTGTGGACAGCAGTCAGGGTGCCCGGCTCTTCCCCGGGGACAGCGGGCCTGCGCTGACCACCCCCCGCCCCCCCCGGCCCCGCAGGAGTGAAGACCCCCTTGTGGAAGAAGGAGCCGGCGGAGCCGCCTGCCAGCGAGGCGGAGGCGGCCGCAGAGGAGGGGTCGGAGGAAGAGGAGGCCGAGGAGGACGAGGAGGCGGCGGCGGCGGGGCCGCGGGAGCGGAGCGGGGCGGAGAGCGAGGCGCCCAGCCGGGAGGCGGAGCGCGGCGAAGGCCGCGAGCGGGGCTCCGTGTCCTACTGCCCGCTGCGCCAGGAGTCCAGCACCCAGCAGGTGGCGCTGCTGCGGCGCGCGGACAGCGGCTTCTGGGGCTGGCTCGGCCCGTTCGCGCTGCTCGGCGGCCTGGCGGCTCCCGCGGACAGGTGACGGCGCGCCCCGGCCGGGGTTGGGGGCGCGGGGCCGCGGCGGGAGGGGGCCGCGCGGGGCACTGAGCTCCCGGGCCCCGCGCAGGAAGCGGAGCCTCCCGGAGCCGCCGTGCGTGCTGGAGACGCGGCGCCGGCCGCCGCGCGCTGGGAGCTGTGCGCGCTGCGAGATCCTTTACTGCAAGAAGTGCAGGAACCTGCACAGCCACCCGGCCTACGTGGCGCACTGCCTTCTGGAGCACTCAGATCTGCGGAAGGCGCGGGCTTCGGGGGGCGCGGGGGCCTCCGGGTGCCCCTGAGCGCCCCCGCCGCCAGCCTTTGTGCCCTCCGTCCTCGCCTGACCCCAGCCTCCCCGCCACCACCTCCTCCAGAAGTGCCCCTTCCCAGAGCGCCTCCTCCAAGCCCGCAAGCCGGCCCACGGTCCCCGTGGGCCTTCCCACCCGTCACCCAGCGCCCACGCAAGGCTGAGCCCAACATCACCTGGGGCTCCACGCCTCCGTGAGCCCCTCCCGAGGGCTACCGTCCCGGCGGCACCCAAGTGCCTCCCGCCCACCGGACTCGCGCCGCCGGCACAGCCTCACATCCGTCTCCGGGGTAGCTCAGGTCCTCTGGCCCACTGCGCGGAGGCATCGCCTAGACAAACTCACCCCTGGGCTCCCTCGCGGCTGAGAAACCTGCCCCTGCCCCTCCAATCACTCAATAAAGCCTCTAATCAAAATGTCAGAGCCTTGAGGTGGGGGCCAGGTGGCTCCCTTGAGGGGGATAAAGACCCTCCTTCGCCTTCCCCGGGGTTCACGTCAGAGGGAAAAGGGCAGGCGGAGGGCCGCCTCCTTCCATCTCCCCCAGGACAGGGTGGAACAGAGCACTTGCATCCAAGGTCAGTCAAAGGCCATTCCCCCGAAAATGAAGGCGAGGGTCAGGAATGCCCCTGGGGAGCTGAGGGCTGACTCTTGCTAGATCAATCTCCCCTTCCCCTGGAAGCCAGGTCTTGCACTGTTTGTGCAAATTAAGGCACCGGCAGGTGTGGGGGGTGGGCGTGGGGGGGGGGGACAAGAGAACCAGATGCTGAAAGGCTGAGACTGGCTGAGGCAGGACAGAGAGAGGCTGGAGAGCTGGTTCCTTCTCCAGGAATCCCAGCTATTCTTGGCCAGCCTGCCAGCTCCTGGAACGCTGCGTGTGTGGCCTGAAGAATGGGGCCATTGTGAGCACCAGGCCTCCCCCAGCCTGCAGGGACCCCGGCGCCTGCAGCAGTGCAGCCCTCCAGAGGGGGCCCCACCCTCTCCCTGCCACCCATGGCTCTCCAGCTTTTTTGCTTTTTCTGGCCACCTCTCCCCATCACGACGACTCACACACAGTCTGTAGTCTTGGCTTGGATGGGAAAGAACATTGTTCCAGCCGCTCCGGCATCCGTGCTCTCACTGGAAACCATTCCAAGGAAGGCTGATGCCTGCTTCCGGGCCCACCAGCTGGGGGCACCGCTTTATTCCAGTGGGGCCCAGCAGGCCCGCATCAGTCTCCCTCTTGCTCTGGGTCCTGACCCCCCCACCCCGACCCCCATGGCTCTCTGAGGTTGGAAATCCTTGTACCCAACCCACCCAAGCTTCCTGGAGGTGAGGCTTCGCATTTAAAAAGACACAATTCTCCAAAAACTGAGCCAGGGAGGTCCTGAGGGGAAGGAGACAGTCTTGCAAAGTGGTCCCAACCTCTCCATCAAGTTTTGCATCCTCCCTGGCCGCCCAGCGCTGTCGCCTCGTGGACAGGAAGTGCACCTTTAGCAGAAGAAACAAAATCCCCGAGGCTTGGGGAGGAGAGTCCTCTGGGAAGGGGCTGTGCGGTTTGAGACCCCTTCTGGCTTCTCCTTGGACTGATCCCACAAAGATCAGGGTCTTAAGAGCACAAAGCAATTCTCCAAGAAACAAACACAAACTTTCCTGCCTGGTCTTCTGCAGGGAAGCTCGGAGGCTTCCAAGGCAGGTCCCGCTCCTGGGGCAGGGGACACACGTTGGCCACAAGGGCACCGACAATCCACTAAGGGGTCGGAGCGTCTTCAGAACAGGGCGCCCCCCGAATTGGCGTGCCAGCAGCCCATCCAGGGCAGCTCTGCGGCCCAGCGGCCCGAGGCGGTCGCCTGCAGTCTGGCCTGGTCAAGGCGCCAGTAGTGGTCATCCCTGAAGAAGATGACGGAGCCGTCCGGCCGTGGCAGCGCGCCGCTGACCTCCTCAGGGACGCCACCCCAGTCCTTCAGGCCTCGCGGGTAGTAGGGCTCCACCTGCAGTCCGTCTCGGGCCAGCACGTAGTAGCGGGCACCCTTGAAGAGGATGAGTCGGCCCAGAGGCGGGAAGAAGAGGGCCGCGTCGGGGTGGCGGGGCAGGCCCCCTGCCCGGCACAGCTGTGGTGAACCCCACACTGGTTTGGGGCCCCGGAACCTCCAGCATCGGCTCCCTGTAGGGCATCAGGAGAGCCAGGGTGAGCTGGTGGCTCTCACCCTTTGGTCCTCCGCCTCACCTGTCCCCTCAGCCCTGTGCTCCCCCTCATGTTGGAGCCCAGGGTGGTTAGTATTTGTGATCATCAAGATGGATCACACAGTACTAATAATTCACTGGCAAGATGGTCCCACGGGGACTGCTATGGCCTAGACTTCCAGCAGGTGTCAGCAGAGGGCAGGCAGGGCAAAGGGAGCATCAGGGGCGGCGGAAGCAGGCCCCCTCCCCGAATGGGCAGTGGACCACAGGGAAGGCCAGTCACCACCATTTCTACACATAGTTCTATGAGGGCAGGGATTTTTGTTTTGTTCACGACTGTATCCCAACACCTCCAATTGTGTCTAGTGCATCCAAGGCACTCAGTTATTTGCTGGATGAATGAAACTATTTACTCACATAATAGACTGCACGTTCCTCGCGACATGATGTTTTAATCCTCCTTCCCCAACAAACCTGAGGGATTATTTTCCCCATTCAAGATAATTCAAGTCCAAGTGACAGGCCCAACCTCGCACAGCCAGGATTCCAAGGAAGCAGGACTTTCCCGCTGGATTGCAGAGCTCAGGAGTGGTCCTCTGCTTCCCTTCTAGACTCTTCTCTGCAGCCCTCCCACCCTCTCTCTCTGGGACAACCTCAACGCCCTGCCCTGCAATCCATCCCTGAAGGAACCTCCTGGTAGAGTTCCCTGGGGCCGCAGGTTCAGAGTGGAATTGACACCCCTCCCCTCTTTTGACCTTGGACAGAACACCTCCCTTCTCTAGGCCTCAATTTTCTCCTCTGCCCCAGGGCTGGTACCTTTGAAGAAGTAGAAGTCCCCACTGTCCAATGACACCGCAGCAGCCTCAATGTGGGGGGGCAGCCCCGCCCACCTCTCCTGTAGTGGGCGTGGCTCTGAGACATTGCCGTCCGCCGCCACCTCCCAGAAGTGGCTTCCTTGAAAAATGTACAGTCGCTGTTGCCCGTCTGTCCGGAGACAAGAGAGTTGAGGAGTGACCATCAGCCTCTCGCCTTCCTTCCAGGGAAGGTGCTTTCCTAGAACCAGCTTCCCAGACTCAGGAGAGAGGCTGTAGCGTGCACAGCTGGGGCAAAGGGAAGGCGCGCAGGAGGAGGCAGTGTTTTGCTTGGCGTGGGCTTCCTACCCCGCAGAATGCTTGTCGCTTGGGATTTCTGGATTTATTATTCATAACCCCACCCCCTATTCCAGCTCTGGAGACCCCTGGAGATGTGGGGGAGAAAGGAAAAAGGAAGCGAGGCACAGGTGGGACCATCTTACCTACAGTGATGGCATCGAAGGAAGAGTGGCAATATTTAGGACCCTGGATTTCGGGGCGCCTTCCCTGTGGTCTGTGGGGGTCCCAGGCCTCAAAGTCAGTGAACAGCTTTCCGGGGAGCTGAATGGCCACGGAGCCCCCCTGGGGCTTCCCTTCATGGGGAAGGAGAGAAGAGGGAGAGCACACACACTGGTTGGGGCATGTGTGGAGGGCTCAAGACCTCCTTTCTGGCTCCTTCCATCATGATCTGGTATGGGAGGCAGGGAAGGAGCGTGGGGGGTGGGGGGCTAAGAGTTGTCCTTGGTTGTCAGTATTATTAACTGTAGCACTAAATTCAAAAGTCCTCTCTCCTCCGAAAAGTCTGGGAAAGAGAACCCTACTGAGCTAAAACTGGAGTGGGGGACCACACAAGAGCTGGGCACTAAAAGAGCAGAAGGTTCTCTTCCCTGAGTCCTGGGCAACACAGATGGCATGAGGGCAGAGTTCAGGAGCCCGGGCTGTGACAGTTACAGCAATCATAATAATTACATCACCATACTTCACTTATGAGAGTGAGACAGAGTCCAACAAGGTTAGAATTTGGCACCAGCTCCTGCATCCTGGTCTACGACTTTCTAGCTGTGTGACCTTGGACAAGTTATCTAACCTCTCTGAGCCCCGTTCTCCCCATCTGTGGACAAAGATACCTCATGAGTGTGTTAAGCGTCTGGCCCATAGTATACACTCATGAAATAGCAGCTGTTCGCGATCGTTTCTTAGGCTACAGAAACCTAGGGCCAACAGCCCTGTGAGGTAAGCAGGGCCTCAATGATTATCCCTTTTCTCAGAAGGTAAAACCGAGAGCTCTCAGCGGGGAAATGCTTTGCCCCCGAGCAACTGCTTATCAGGAATGGCACGGTGACTTGAACCCAGGGCTCTGGCCCTGCCTACGCACCAGGCACTCTGAGGGAGCCAGCCGTGGCTGGTTGGGCGGCAGCACTGGCCAGTTCGTTCTGGAAGGGCCCGGGGTAAGGGGGAAACCTCGGCTGGGTCTACCTCCAGGCAGAGGCCCAGGCTTGGAGGGGAGCGGGCACCAGCGCCAGCGAGGGGGTTAGGCTGGGGGCGAGCAAGCGGAGCAGGAACAAGGGCTGGGGCGGGGGGAGAGGTGGGACCGGGGGCTGGGTCTGGGCGGTGGGGCAGCGATGGGAGAGGAACCGCCGAGGCCGGGATTGGGCAGGACTCTGGGGAATCGGAGCGCCAGGGAGGGCGGTGCGCGGGACCTGGTTGGGATGGAGAGGCCAGGCACTGGGGGCTTTTTCGGATGTGAGGGGAGCCGCAGCTTCGGGATCGCGAGGGACCAGTGGCGGTGAGGCCGGGTTCCCGCGCTTCCGACGGTGGCTCCTGCTCGCCGCACGGGCGTGCGGGCCCCGGGAGGAGCGGGGGGGGCGGGCGGCGGGCCGGGGGCTCACCATACAGGCCCTGCACGGCCAGCACGTCGTCCCAGCTGAGCAGCGCGTCGCGGCCCAGCCTCTTGTAGTAGGGCGCCATGAGCGCGCGCGGCGCCGG